GGGTAACGCCGCTGCGAATTTTTTACAATTGTGCAATTGTCAAAAATCCCCTTTTTAATCAAAAAGTTGTTTATTGAAACTATCTTCTTTTTTGTATCATGTCTTTTACTATTGTTTTATTCAGAATCTAATAAAGTTTTTACACACAAATTGAAATAGACAAAGTATTTAAAGCTAAATTGTGCGATTTATGTGTAAAATTGGGGAAAACAAAGTGATTCGGTTCTCGGCGAAGAACCTATATTACGGAAATCGGGGTTTTCTTTCGTACAAATCACACGTGGGAATCCGAAAAACCCAGTTAAAGCGTTTCTAGGGAAAGTGGTGGCACACGCGGTGCATAGTATTATGTGAAACATGCTATTCATATATGCGTATTTATGTGTTTAGATAGGTTATGTAAAAAAGTGCAATGCTGAAAGAAACATGCACACCTATGTATGTGCATAGTAGTGTGCCCAGATGACAACAAAGTATGGGCACCTATCAGCGTTGCCATAGACAAATTTTTTTTCCTACCATAACCAACCAAAACCTACCAAACATTTTTTTGGGTTTTAATATTTGTTTTCGATTTCAAATTTTTTAAAAATATAAGGGGAATTCCAAAACGTCAAAAAACAAAGCATTAGCCTCTTTTATTTCTAAAGCGCACTAGAAGAAAAAGTCTAACTTGCGCAACCTAGTTGGAAACTAGCACCAAACCGTGGTTGCGAACATTTGGCATTACAATCTTCAGCGGTTTGGAAGTAAAAGAGACTGATGCTTTGTATTTTGACGTTTTGGAATGCAGCCATAGTTAACATAACATTTAGTAAAACTAAAACACAACTAGATTAATGAAAACAAATTAACTGCGTATAACGATTCATTTTACTGAACAGACTTATCCATATGTACATATGTCTCTTTACACATACATACATATCGTCACTAGATACGAATGAAGACGCGAGCTCCAAAGTTGATAGCGAAAAAAGAGGCGTAAAAAAAATTTCGCCGAAGAAAGACTCTTAACATAGATGACGGCAAATAAAGCCGCGTTAACCTCTTTGACAGCGAAGAAAGACCCATAAACTTATGTCCGCGGTCAACTATATATTCGAGCGCAACAGTATTCCCCAGATTTCCCCAAAGAGTTTTTCCGAGCTTTTTATTCGTGTCTAGTGACGATATTATTATTATTATTACGTCGAAGATACCCGTGCTGCGACCTAAGAAGATATATTGTGCTAAATTAAAATTGTAGTCACTCCAACCTTAGGCTATTTAAAAAGCTCAGCACTTTGGATGAGGCCATGTTCCAAACTTTAGATGAAGAAAGCAATCGTTCTCCAAGGTGTATCAATCTACGATTCATGCTTCGTGGACAGGCACATAGAATATACTCTGTGGTCCCTACAGTCCGTCTCTACAGAAAGACCCATTTAATTAAAACCGTACGTTAACTTGCAGTCAGGTTGACAGTAAGAGCTCTAAATCTTGGTTTTCATTAGGTCATATTTGACGTCAAATGTTGTCAAAATAATGAAAACGGGTTGTCATCTGGTGTCATTTGCGTTTGTTGTCATATATCACCACGCACGGTCATATAAAATGACATCCAAATGAAAACGGCCCTCGCCGCTGATGTGACAGTATTTGACAACCAAAATGTGTTTGCCAACATGTTGGCATTTTGATTTCGTTTGCCATGCGAACAGCTGATTCTAGCTACAAAAATTGCTAAGGTATTGTCTTACCTTTAGCTTACCTTTTAGCTACAAAAAACCCAAAAATGCAGATCGATAGAACTTTTCACGCAGATTTCAACCATACCCAATTATTTGGGGAAAGTAAAAAACAAAGAAAATATAACAGGTTAAACTACAACTTTCCTATTTTTTATATGTTTCATATCTCGGAAACTACTTGACCGATTAACAAAATATTAATGCCAATTCAAAGATAATTTTAATAGGGTTTTTACGATGTATTTACTATAACCATTTTTAAACCAAATTTTTGGTAAATGCTATTTAAAAAAAATGTACTTTCGTTAAATTTTGCCATATAACAAACCTTTTATATAAGGTAATAACTTGTAATTTCTAAATAATATAAATTTCTGTAGCATTAATTATGCAATTTTCTCCAAAAAAGGTAATTTAATGAAACAATTTTTTTTTTGTTTTTTAGTATTTTTGATTTAAAAATATAAAAAAATCAGAGAAATTATGTACATCATCTGAAAGATAAACTAATCGTCTTTATTTTGACATCATTAGTGGTTTAATCGGTTATGTTGTTCATAAGATACTGATATTTCAAAATATCGAAAAATTTAACCTAACCCCCTATATCTTAATTTTTTACTTGCGCTAAATAATTTTGGTAAGGTTGAAATCAGCATGAAGGGTTCTACATAATTACATTTTTAGTTTGTCTATAGCTTTTGACGTCAGAAATGCAAGCGGAATGTCAATCATCTGACACCGAAACTTGCCGACAGTCTTTGACATGCACTGCGGTATCGACATTTGGTCAGTTTTTAAAATGTAATGGAAACGTATTTGACACCAAATGAACAGCTGTCAGATGAACGCAGTTTTTGATGCCAGTGATTTTGACCTAATGAAAACCAGCCTTAAGTTCAAGGTGTCTTTCGGAGTTCCTGCCGGAAAGAGTTATGCATATCTTTGATTGTCTTATTCCCTTTGACTTCCGCCAGTAGGCAGAAATTTGAGATTATTCCCAGCTAGCTCCTAAGTAGGTCTGCAGTGTATCCATTAGATGTACCACAGAAAGGCTAGGTACCATGCAAACGCATTAGGGTTTCACGCTTTGCGAGACAGTCAGCCCTTTCGTTGTCTTCAAACCCTTCATGCGTGACGCTATTGTGGGCTCGCAGGTGGTTCAAGAGTTTACAAGCCTTGATGCCGTTTTAAAAGACTCTAAGGCCTTAAACACTGCCTGAATGTCCGACATAATATTTATTCTGGCCTCATTTGCCTTCTACGGATGACATTTGCGAACACAGACTTCGATTGGGAAGACTTCCGCCTGAAATAAGGTTGAGTACGAGCCCATTGGCAGACTTTCTGGAATCTTGGTCCAAGTACGCCATAAATTATATCGCTACCTAAAGGTGAAAAGGCGCCAAGTCCATTTTTTTTAGTTAAGTTTTTGATGCAGAATAACAGGTAATACGAGACTACATCGATTTCTCGTCTCTCCTGAAAAATTTCTAAAAATGGACTTGGCACCTTTTCACCCTTATAACATGTCTAACTATTGCTGTCCACACTGCGGTTTGAGGTTTATAAAGCAGTACAAATGTAGAGAACAGTGTTCGGACTTACAAAACTCGATTCAGGACTAAAAATCTGAGCAAAAACAAATTTTCCGTACTAGATTGAATTTTTTATTTTCGTTTCTGTCATTAATTGTTTGACTTAAATATTTTCTATTCATGTAAAAATAAGAACGCGAGGCAATGTAAGGATAATATGTTAAATATTTAGGTACTATTTAGCATTTTCTATAAAGTAGAACGTTTCTAACACTTAATTTTTTAAAGAGCAATAGGATCTAAACCTTTTCTACTTTATATAAATTTCATTTTACATATATTTTTTAACAACTTAAGTAAAGTTCTGCATCCGCCAATTTCTACAGCCGTACATCAAAAAATAACCAAGTTAAGTTAAGTTTTAACAGTGAGATTTGGCTAACTTTCAATTTTTTTACTGAAACCGGTGGTGAACACTCAAAAAACGGCCCCAAGAGGAGCATAACATGAATGAAATAAAAACGGAATAGATTTCAAGTCAAGCGGAGTAGAATAAAATTTTTTTCAAAAACCGAAGTAATTCTAATCTGATCTTAGTGAGGTCCAAACACTAGTAAGGAACGAATTTTTTACATTTTAACGCTAATGACCCACAGATGGCGGGAAAACACAGGGTTGTATCAGACTTTCGGCGTGGTTTCGAGTTGGTTAGCTTTTAACCATCTCAGTGAAATGGTTAAGTGCTGTCATTTTTATATGGCGAAACTACGCTAAATAAAGTGGGTTATCGGGATAACCAACTCAACAGCCATAACTACGTGGTTAGCTCCGGTGGGGACATGGTATTAGGTCACGATATATGGATGTCCGTATTGCATATTGGCAATAATAAGGTATACGTTTGAACTTAGGAATCAGGTATATTTACATGTTTCTGGCCGCCATGATACGAACGCACCGGTGAAATACTTGTGTAAAAAAGGTTGCTAAAATATTTGGAGATACGTACATATTTTCTATTTTTCGCAAATAACTATTACTCATTGTGTTATAGTGAAAACGAAAAAAAAACGTGGTGATTGAGTGCGATTATATTGGTATTTATTTTAGGTAATTATCTAGTTGGGCTTTTAACGCCCATTTTTTGTTAATAACTTTTGATCGGGTAAAAAAAGTTAATTTCCGCTCTCGGATTCTTGTTATTGGGGACCAGACGCGTCTTCCCAAAATTTTTACCAATTTTGGGAGTTGAAAGCCCACCTATATAATTACGGATTGTAACCCTCACTTGCTTCTCCTTTCTGTATTGCCATAAAAAGAAGCCGAACTATTTCTGCGCAGAACCTCTTTCTGAATAGGCGGCCTTCGGCCGCACTTAGGGATTATAACCCTCACAAAGTAGAATTCTTTTTCTGTGTTGCGAAGAAAAAGCGCTGAACACCTTTTGCAGAGAACACCTTTCTGCGTAGGTTAATAACTTTTAATCGGGTACTTGTTATTGGGGTCCAGGCGCGTCTAATGGTACCCCCTTTCCAAAATGTTGACCAATTTTGGGCGTTGAAAGCCCACCTAGATAATTACCTTATTTTAAATATAATAAGTGAAACTTAGTGAAGATTAGCAAAAATTGTTCATAAAATATGGTTTTGGGTACAGAAGTGTTCTACAATCGCAGAGCATCAACACAGCTCGATTATTTTTATTTATTTTTTATTTATTTCTTTTTCAGCGCCAATGTTCTTAACGTTAAGATGCACCCACTTTTCCCGGTAATTTAAGCCTCTTGGCAGGCCAAACAGATGCACGAACTTGTTCTATATTAAAAAAATAAAATTTTAACAAATCAAGAGTTGAATTAAATCGCTTCAGAAATATATAAATTGAAAAAAAAATCCCTATGAAGAGGAATGTGAATAAACCGCAAAATCTTACGAAAAAGTGGCAAAAAACGCTAAGAAAGTAATTTTCAGAAATTCGCTACCAACTACAACGATGGCCAAGTGTGGATCTGCAGTTGAGGAGGTCTACGTAAAATCGCTTACGATAAATGAAGGTAACTATTTGTAATTTAAACTAAGGGTCAGTTTCTCAGTGCACGTCTGCAGTTTCAAATCGGACTGACTGGATTATACCCAGATTAGCCAAGCAAATGTCCGCCAGCTGTTCACTGCAGACGCAGTTTATGTGATCTAAGTTTAAACTGGCACGAAGAAGCTGGCCCTAAGAAGATGCAACAATTTAAAGTCTATACAATGAAAATATAGTTGAAAATGTTGGTAGCGGTAGAAACTCTTCTCCTAATCGTCCTCAGCATTTGTTTCCGTGTGATAGGGTGGTAGTAATAGCAGTTTGACAAGAGGTCTTGTCACAGTGCCCTTTTCAGTCAGCATGTCAACAACTCGGACTCTACTGTCCTAACCTGGGTGCAAATTAACCACCCTACGTAGTCTCCATTCGTAAGGCGAGAGAGTATCTTCTTTTATGACCACCATATCTCCTACTTTCATGTTTGCCTTTGGATGTTTCCACTTTGTGCGTTTTTGTAGCTCGATCAGGTATTCATAAGCCCCCCATATGCGGAGCTGCGACAGGTATGAAATGTCAGGTTAGTGATTGGTGAACATATTTTGATACCGTCTGTGTACGCGCGTCGGAAAGAAATGCCTAAAAATCTGCTTTTAACGCTCTTGAAGCTCCTACAAAGTTTGTCCCATTGTCTGAGTAGACATTTTTTGGGCACCCACGTCTGGAAACGAATCTTGAAAATGCCGCTAGGAAGGATTGGGTACTCAAATCATTTGTGGCCTCTAGATGGATGGCCTTCGTAGAAAAACAGACCATAAGACAGACGCAACCCTTTGAAATTCGGCACCCACACCCACGATAGCTTTTTATTTCAAAGGGTCCAGCGAAATCCACACCTGTATTGGTAAGTGCTTGCGAAAATGTGGTTCGCTCTTGTGGAAGGATCCCCATAAGTTGGCTTTGCGAGCGTTTTTGGTGAATAGTACATATTTTGCAATTATGGATGGTGGATCTTATTAGTGTTTTCACCTTTGGAATCCAGTACTGCGTTCGGATGAGACGCAACATGAGTTGGTTTTCGCCATGGAGAGAGATGTCGTGTACAAATTGGACTAGTAGGCGCGATAACCTGCAGCTGTATGGGAGTATGACTGGATGCCGTTCACTATATGCAAGATCAAGAGATGCACCAAGACGACCACCAGTTCTCAGCACATCATCTTTATCAAGCAGCCAAGAAGGACCTTGCCACCACAACGAATTTTATACCAATTCATGCGCTAATATGCCCCTACTTGCTAAATCTGCTGGATTTGTGGCAGAGTCGACGTGCAACCAGTTAGAATTCCCTACCTTGTCTATTATTTTTGTAACTCGATGGGCAACGAATGTTGACCACGAACATGGGGGCTTACGTATCCATGCTAAAACAATAGTCGATTCGGTCCAAAGATGCATGTTTAGATGGCCTAATTCAAGGTTATTTGTAATTGATTCGACTATTTCTTCTAGTAATACCGCCCCGCAAAGTTCCAACCTAGGCCATGAAATTGTTTTCACTGGAGTTACTCGAGTTTTCGCCAACAGCAGGTTGACATGTATTTCCTTCTCTTTCGACACGTAGGTAGACTGCGGCCGCGTATGCCTTTTCGGAAGCATCGCAGAATCCGTGAATTTCGACGCTTTCCCTTGGTGAGAAAGATAACCATCGCGGTATCCTTATTTTATCTATTTCTTTATAATTTTTTGTAAAATTCTGCCACCTATCTAAGGTTGGCACGGAAACCGTTTCGTCCCACTTTGTACCCTCCAACCATATATTTTGCATAAGTATTTTTGCAACTATTATTATTGGTGCTAGCCAACCCAACGGGTCGAGTAGTTTGGCGATCGCTGACGATATCGCTCTCTTTGTTGGCGTGATGTTATCTTCTATGGTCTTGGGTATGAAATAAAATTGGTCGGAATGCGCATTCCACCTGATACCTAATGCTTTTACACTGCTAGTATCCTCGAATTCTAAGATACTTCATCTGGTTGGCATCCACGAGAATTTGCCAGTACATCTTCTCAATATCGCTATTGAAGACGTAACTAAAAAGCCTCTAGCGGAGAATCAAAATTGGTAAATCAGCTTGAAGGACTGGTAAAAGAACATCGTTCTTGCTGACCCAATTCGCTGAAGAAGACGAAGCATTAAAAACCACCCGAACCTTTGTTGATATACTTTCTTCTTTTATCACGGCATGATGAGGCAGATAGTAATTGTCGACTGCATCGGCCAACTGAAGTGCATTGATTTTTGACATATGTCCCATTGTCTCGTACTCCAGTATGACCCTGTTGTATTCCGCTTGCAAATCTGGATTTTTCTTGAGGCGTGTCTCGTTTTTGTAGAATTGCGAGCACGCTATTCTCAGTGATGGCCCCAATTTGGTATCAGCCGTGAACTCCGCTTTGAATGGAAACAAAACGATATACCTTCCGTCTGGGTTCCGTTTGGTCGTACGCTTGTAGAGCTCCTCGCACTGCGTTTCTTCGGTTGTTGGCGCTCTGTTTCTCGGCAGATTCTCCAGTTCCCAGAATGATCATAACTGTTTATCAAGGGCAACCTCATTGTAAAATGAAACTCGATTATTGCTGGTTGGGCTGGCTGCATCAGCGCGACCAGTCAGTATCCAACCGAATACTGTTTCTTGCGCTAAGAGAGTACTGAAAACGTTCTTCTTAATTCCACCTAATGTTATTTGGGGATATATATCTCCTCCAAGAACTAGGTCGACTTGCTCATTCACAAAAAACCTTTTGTCTGCCAAACCAAGATCAGGAAAAACTTGTTGGGTGAGTGCGCTAACATGACAAGTAGGCAAATTCCCTGTCAGATTTGGTAGAACTAACACAAGGGCATCAATAGAAATAAGAGGGTCAATTGGTGACCGCAATTGAATCGAACACGATTCTTTCACTTGCGCTGAAACAGAATTATTGATGCCCGAAACTTGTGCTAACATCTTCTTGGTCGGATAGTTGATTCTGCGTCTGAGCCTCTCCGTGATGAAGGAACACTAAGAGCCAGAATCAATTAACGCTCTTCGCAAAGTTAGTACCGTTAAAATGAATATTTACTCGAGCTGTCCCAAGTAAAAGGCCTTTGCTGGAATTCGCGTGATGTGATTGCACATATCTGACCGCTTTACCTTTTCCCTTTGAAGATTGGTTCTGTAATTGTGCCTGCCTGGATATCGATGCACCATTGTTAACTGGATTGGCTGTATTCTCCTTTGTCGTTGTTTTACCTGGAACCGCCTGTATATCAGAGCTGTGTAAGTGTGAAATCATTTTCAATTTTAAATCAAAAATTTTTTTCTATCCAGTTTTCATTACTTATTCTTCGCTTAAGATTGGGGTTTATATTTTTTTAATTTTCCATTCACTCAAAGCAGTTATGAACTCACACATCAACATATTCATAGCAAGATTGAAAAAACCAATGCCCAATCAAAAAAAGGTTTAACACTGAATCCGTATTGAAAAGGCTGCAATCTTTTATGTGTGTGCATTCTCTAATTCAGTACCAATCATTAGTTCAAAGACACCCTGGTAAACAACTTTTTGATAAAAAGGAAGATTTTTGACAATTGCTCAATTGTAAGAATTCAAACCGGCGTTACCCAATTTAAGTTTTTTGGTAAAGGCGATTTTATATCATAGGTTTGGGATTATATATAAAACAGTTGTATTAACATTTACGTTTTAAATATAATTCATGTTTTATCTTGAAAATGTTTAAAATTTACATTAAATTAGATAACTACTTCGCATAAGCTTTACATTTAGGTTGATAAAATTTTANTTATCTTGAAAATGTTTAAAATTTACATTAAATTAGATAACTACTTCGCAGCTTTACATTTAGGTTAATAAAATTTTAGTGAAAATATTTTAAAAATCTCAGTGTCTTTAATAAAAAAAACTGCTCATCATAAAAATTTGAATCGCCGTTCGGTGTCGGCGTAAGACTGTAGGTCCCTCCCATTTGTGTGACAGCAAGGGCGCACGCTACAAATCGGAGGAGAAGCTCGGCCAAAACTTAGCAAAAGTGTCAAGGCCAAAATATGATTATTATAAATAAATTTAGTTTCAAACAGGTCGCAACCCTCTTCAAATACCTCAAAAGTATTCCCAATATTATTTAGTTGTGAACCCGCATGAGTCCGAAATTACCATTTTTTTTTACCAGAATTTTCAGATTTTACCGGAAATCTTACTTGGTTTTCTGGCAACTGAGAGGACAAATAAGAGAGTAAGTAAGGTCATCTCTTTGTCAGAAGCTACCAGTTTTAGTCCGACGATTTTTTGGTGGTAAATTCTGGTAAATGTGATCCGATGTAGTGGGTTTGACAAGTAAGTTGTAAACAAAAGAGAAGTGCACTCTGCTAATGCATGTTGAAAAGTATTTAATTACTTGTGTAAGTGGATTCTAATGAATTTTGGTTAAATTACAAAACGATTAAAAATATATTAGCCGTTATTTTACGTTTAAAAACTTTAAGGCGCGTATTCATAGTCCAGCAACTAAGTCGAAACTAACAAAGTTGCAACTTAGATTTAAGTACCAACTTAAAATTTACCTCTATTCATAGTAGCATTTCAGACTTCTACTAAGTAGTTTCGACTTAGTTTACGATATAGCAAAACGAGTGTGAAAATGTATAGATTTTTCTTTACAATATTTATATATATTTTGGAAAAATTACATTTTTATTAAATAATGTCAAGTTTGATCATCCCTTTATGTAATTTTCTATTTTCATTGCATGATTATGCAAAAGAATAAGGTATCATTTTCTTGTTAATTGTGTGAAATAGCCAGAACAACCACAGTGATGTGAAGTCGATGTTTATCGAAAGCATGCTGTGAAACATACAAATAGTAGATATCTAAATGTTATGCACAAATTTACTTTAAAAGAANTTCAATATTATCAAAATCACCCTCTACCAACTTAATTTTTACATATTTCGTCT